GGCAAAGCCATTGTGGAGCCGGCAGCAGCCGCGTGGTGCTGGATGGGCACAGCACCGCTGCTGCTCCTGGGCCCAGCGTCCCCTCCTCTCCCACCCAGGTGGCCTGGCCGGAGGAATCGAGATCTGCATCACATTCCCCACCGAGTATGTGAAGACGCAACTACAGCTGGATGAGAAGGCAAACCCTCCCCGCTACAAGGGCATCGGTGAGTGCGTGCCCCGTGCCCTGCCCCAACCCGCCAGCCGGATTCGGATGCTGCTGTGAGCCCGGCTGGGTCTGGGGCGGGCAGCGGGTTTTGCTGGGACGGTGTGGTGGCCCTCGGTGTGGCTGGTGACGGTGGCGCTACTGTGCTCTGCTGCAGGGGACTGCGTGAAGCAGACCGTGCGTGACCATGGCATCCGGGGGCTGTACCGGGGGCTCAGCTCACTGGTGTATGGCTCCATCCCCAAGGCCGCTGTCAGGTAGGTGTCCCCTGTGGCACAGGGTGTGTGGAGGGGACCCCAGGTGGCAGCAAACAAGGGGGTGGGTTTGGTCTTGATCTCCTCAGCGGCACTTTGCCGAAGCTGGGTGCTTTCCTGGACTGGGAGGGTCCTCTCACAGGGTACGTGGCTGCTGCCGGGGACAGGCCCAGAACAGGGGGGTGCAGATCCCTGGGCAGGTGCCTGGGGGTTGGCATGGCGGCTCCTCCGCAGGTTCGGGATGTTCGAGTTCCTCAGCAACCAGAAAGGGGAGGCAGGACACCACGCGGGGCCTCACCTGCGGGCTGGGCGCCGGCGTGGCCGAGGCTGTGGTGGTGGTCTGCCCCATGGAGACCGTAAAGGTGGGAGGCAGCTGCCAGTGTCCCCCCGCCCTGACACCCCTCCCGGGGAGGGGGCGGGAGCCAGGGATGCCCAGCTTTCAGGGACCTGAGGGCCGGGTGGATTTACTCAGGCTGGTTGTGTAGGGGAGAAGCTGATGCTGGAAAGCCCCATGGGGAGGTCAGGCCCGGCAGCCGTGGCCCCTTCCCCACTCTGGGGAGTAGCCCCCCACGTAGGAGCCATCCCGTCACCTATTTTAGTGCTGTAAAACCCATGTGGTCACTTGCAGAGGCAGTTTGCCAGGTTTTTCTCTGCAGAATGCACTGCTGGCCGTGGGTGTGGGCTTCCCCTGCAGTCTCGCCTGGCGCTGCCTGGCCACGTGGGTCAGCTCTGCCCTCGGGACTGTCCCCAGAGCAAGGCGAGAGGCATCCGGCAGCCTTTCAGGGGTGCATCACCCCCTCGCCTCGGCCTGGACGAGCGTATCATCTCCCCACAGGTGAAGTTTATCCATGACCAGTGCTCTCCCAAGCCCAAATACCGCGGCTTCTTCCATGGCGTCCGGGAGATTGTTCGGGAGCAAGGTGAGTCCAGGGGAAGCGATGTCCTGTCTCCCTCCGGTACCCCCACGCTGCGGGGACAGGGTGGGAGGTGGGGGATGGGTGCAGGCTGGGACCGGCTGCCGGGGGAGTCTTTTCTCTGCCTGGGTGAGGCTGGTGCTCCCCTCCAATGCCATCTCTTGCTGCAGGACTAAAGGGGACCTACCAGGGCTTAACCGCGACCGTCCTCAAGCAAGGATCGAACCAGGCCATCCGCTTCTTCGTCATGACCTCCCTCAAGAACTGGTACAAAGGTATGGTGCCCCCGTCCCCCCAGGGCACCCTGGCTGTACCGCCACTCCCCGAGCACATCCTCGGGAGCCGGGCTTGTGTTTTCCACCAGTGCATCTTCTGCTTCTTGTGGATCAGACTCTCATGATGGAGGAAGATGAAATCCAGGGTAGCGGGGGGGCCTGGTTTGTGGAGTTGAAGATTCCTAGTGCTAGAGCATCACCTCTGCTCTCACCCTGAGCTCCCCAGTGCTGCGTGGGCTCTGTGGGGCTGGTGCTGTTGGACGGTCCCCTCCAAATGTCCTGACCCTCCCACTCAGCACAGAACCAGCCCTGACCATGAGCAGCCGTACCTGGGACCTTGCCCACAGGCTCCCTTGGGGATGCTGTGCCCCACCGCTCTGCCTCAACCTCAACCTCTCCTCCTTCCCAGGGGACGACCCCAACAAGGTGATCAACCCCTTTGTCACGGGGGTGTTTGGAGCCCTTGCCGGAGCTGCGAGTGTCTTTGGCAACACCCCCTTGGACGTGGTGAAGACCAGGATGCAGGTACAGCACTGGGGCACGGTGCGGGACCGCTGTGCCTGCGGCGGGCTGGGGTCACCCGCTGTTTGGGAGCTGTGTGGTGCAGCCCCTGGGGCAGGCGCCCGATGCTGGTGAGGTTTGGGAGGTGCCTGGGGACGCTGCCCTCTCGCAGCCAGGCAGTGGGGGTGCCGAAAGGTGTTCTCATGGAGGTGGGGATGTTCCCTCTGGATTTGGTGGCCTGCGGTGGTGAAGGGGGATTGGTTCCTCCCAGCACACCCCCAGCTCTTTGCCTCTCCCACGAAATCCCCCCGGATGCATCCCTGGCTCTGGGCTCTGACCCTGCTTTTCCCATCCCGCAGGGGCTGGAAGCGCACAAGTACAAGAGCACCTGGGACTGCGCCTACCAGATCATGAAATACGAAGGACCCCTGGCGTAAGGCCTGCAGTGGGGGCAA